AATTTATTATCAGATGGAAAACAAGTCAAAATTTATTATGGGCAGTATGGGTGCACAGCAGCCGATCATGTTTTGGCAAATATCATTGCGGACGTAGTCGATAACTCAGTGATTCGTCATCGACTGCCGGCCGATAATCAAACGAACGAACGGTCTGTCGTAAATCGTAGCACCGGTGTGCACTAACGCATAAATCAAAATGGGCGCACGTTGTCAGGTGTTCCGGTCAGGCTCGTTATCGTTGTATCCACGCGAGCTGATATCGAAGGGAAATATTTCCGCAAAAAAAGAAGAAATGGCAGAACCATGCGAGCGAGAACACTATTAATCCTCGTTAATTGCGCCGGTAGTAACTCAACGTTTCCGCCAGGTTTCTGCCTTTCTAACAAAAATGGTGTCCTCGTAGATTGCAATTTTGCGAGAATGTACGATACATCTACGCGAATGAAACAACAAAATCAAAATCCGCGTTAAACAATTTATCTGATACAAATATTCAACTAATTATAAAGAATATATGTTTAAGATTTGAAAAAGATATAGCCAGATTCGAGTTATGTAACTTGTAATATATATGTGTTTATTGTAATACGTTCATGACAGTAAATATCAGGTCTTGTCTTTAATTATATAACTTGTATTAAGATTATTAAAAAAATAAGAGAATTGAGAAATATTAAATTAAACGAATAATTGCACAACACCCACAAGTACTCATATTGAAATTATAAAAAAAAATCAGGGATTCAAGTACAATTTCATTACAACGTCCAGAATTATTCTTATCAAGATTGTAAAAGAAATAAGAGAAACGAGAAACATAAAATTAAATGAATAATTATACCGAAACACCCAGAAGTACCCATATTGAAATTATAAAAAAAAATCAAAGATTCAGGTACAATTTCATTACAACGTCCAGAATTATTCTTATTAAGATTGCAAAAGAAATAAGAGAATCGAGAAATATAAAATTAAATGAACAATTACACCGAAACACCCATAAGTACCCATATTGAAATTTCTAAAAGAAAATCAGAGGTCCAAATAAAATTTCATTACAACATCCAGAATTATTCTTATCAATATTGCAAAAGAAATAAGAGAATCGAGAAATATAAAATTAAATGAACAATTACACCGAAACACCCATAAGTACCCATATTGAAATTTCTAAAAGAAAATCAGAGGTCCAAATAAAATTTCATTTGAACGTCCAGAATAGTTCGTATTAAAATTATAAAAGAAATCAGAGTAGTTACAGGAACAATTACAGTGAAACACCTAAGTTTAATTGCGCGACATATCAAGAAGTACCGTGATGATAATCGTCAAGGCGATTGCGATCATTAAATAAGCGCTTCTAGGACGTCGGTGAAAGTATAATGGTGATATATTAACGAGCAGAAAAGGCTCCACCTTCGAGACCACGCAACTCGTGCTTTTTATTACGTCGTCCGCGTGACTTATATTTAAACGACGCGCCATCGTGACGAGTTCATGGCGTCGTGACGCAAGCACCGGAGGACGAATCCGTCCAATGTTCTCGGTGTTATTAACTCGACCCGAGATCGTCTAGTACCGCGCCCGACACTTAAAATCAATTAGTGGTACGCGTCAATTAGAAAGTCGAATGCCTCTTCGATGTCAATTCCTTGCTGAACGCGAGCCACCAAGCGTGAAACAATCGTTCTTGAACTTCTTTTACGCGCAGAACACCGTGGCAGCCATTGATTTCCATCGCAAAGTTAGAATACTTTAGACTTTTGTTGGTTTACCATAAATGGGGAGGATCAAACGTTCGTGATTTTGACGAATTTCTATGCGGTTTGTGGCTGTGAGTTGGATCGCTATGTATTGGTGGTATGGGTTACTTATTTCCTTGTGTTGTCATTCCTATATTTTGTTTTGGTACACGTGGTATTTCCACGCGTTGTAATTTCTATGCATTGTAATTTCTACGCATCGTATTTCCACGCGCCGTAATTTCTACGCGTCGTAATTTCCACTCATTGTAATTTCCACGCGTTATAATTTCTATGCGTTGTAATTTCTACGCGTTGTATTTCCACGCGCCCTAGTTCCACGCGTTGTAATTCCACGCGCCGTACTTCCACGCGTCGTAATTTCTACGCGCCATAGTTCCACACGCCGTAGTTCCACGCGTCATAATTTCTACGCGTTGTAATTTCCACCCATTGAAATTTCCACGCATTATAATTTCTATGCGTTGTAATTTCTACGCGTTGTATTTTCACGCGCCGTAGTTCCATGCGTCGTAATTCCACGCGCCATAGTTCCACGCGCCGTACTTCCCCGCGTCGTAATTTCTACGCACTGTAATTTCCACCCATTGTAATTTCCACGTATTGTACTTCTACGCGTTGTATTACCATGCGCCGTAGTTCTACGCGCTGTAGTTCCACGCGTCGTAGTTCCACGCGCCATAATTTCTATACGTTGTAATTTCCACCCGTTGTAATTTCTACGCGTCGTAATTTCCACGCGCCATAATTTCCACGTGTTGTAATTTCACCACCGTTGTAATTTCGACACATCGTATTTCCACGCGCCATATGTCCGCGCGTCGCATGTCCCCGCGTTGTATTTCACCGCATTGTACTCCTACCATTCCTCTCCGCTTCGCGTTGTATCACCGCGTACTATTCCCGTCACACGATATTACCATACGTTATTATTCTCACGCGTTGATATTCCCATACGTTGTATCGCCACAATTGTATTCGCGTTGCATTGCCATGCATTTCCACGCGTTGTATCACGTCATGTTACTATTATTCATCGTTATTACTTAGACTCGCACCACACGATGAACAGCAACATGTACCAATTAAAGTTATCGTCTTGGCGAAATCCGAAAGAGATTGAAATAAAGAGAAATTATAATTTGACGTGTACAACCGTAACGATATATTTAAAGCTGTAGTTGGATTTATAGAAGTTTCATCGAGATGGCAGCGATGAAAGTATCGATCAAAGGAGCACTGGGGGAAACGGGTTCTCCATATGAGATAGGTGGACATGCCTGACATCGCGACGACGCATCCAAGTGATCGATAGTCCCTTTAGTTGGCAAGAAGGATTCGAGTTTGGTCGTTGTCGGACGACTTTGACGGCACGTTATTATGTAAATTAAACCGGAAGTCCTTTCTGGATTCTTCCTTCCACCAGCCCGTAATTACTCTCTTCCGTTCTCGGCATAACCGCAGACATTGCCCATCTGAATTTCATTCTCGCATCGACAGCGCGGTATAAACTGGTCAATTTCGAGAATAAATTATAGAAAATTCGGAACGATTGACGTGTACTCGAGCTATTAACATTCGTTAAACGCAATCGTGTTTTTATTGGTTCTTTTGTTTGTACGGGAATACAATAGCAATTATATGACTGCAATTAAAGAAATAATGCCTGCACTTCGTGCCAGTCGCATGACTCCTTTTATTGCGCTACGTAAATATTTTCTTTAAAAATTGAGAATTCTTGACGTTGTTACATTTGTTTTAAGAAGTCAAAAAATATTAGGGGTACCGAAAAGTAATCAAAATTTTGTTTACTGGCAAAAAACATTTATTTACTAAAGAAATCTTAAATGCTAATTAACAAAATAATTTCCATCATTTTTTAACGCTTTTTGCCAGCGTAAAGGCAATTCGATTCCCTTCTTAAAAAAAGTCCGTCGATTTTTCATTGAAAATCTTTGAAGTCATTGAAGAAGTTTTGAATACTTTTCGGTACAACATATATTTTTTTGTCTTGTCAGGAGTAGAAGTGTTTGTTAAATATACAATCTTTGTTAGATCATCATCGAAAATATTTTCACGATCGATCAGCATTGAAGTATCTGAGTTCGGAATAGTTTACGTGTCTCAGTGACGCGGATAGAGCAAGATATAATAAAATATAATTTGCATAAATTACGAAATGACCGTTTCGTGCCGATTCCGGTGCACGGTGAACTGGCAACGAATTTTTCACGTGAAAGCTGCCCGATCGATTTCACCTCGCGCCAATTTGGAAATTTCCACGGAACATGTACACACGTTCCCGCGATAATTAAACAATTGAACGTTCGGACTGACAAACAACGAAATATTCCATTTTCAATAATGCAACAACAAAATGATTCGTACACTGGATTTGGTCCATTATGTAAATCATACGTCTCTATTCAACTTCTCATTTTCTTCTCTTTTATCGTGCGATGTTTGCACGCTTCGTTAATTATAATTTGCTCGTTAGTAATTTTGCGATGCTCTTGGAAAGAGGTATTAATCTTTCGACGTATTTATAGCCTTTATCTTTGAAATGAATTCTCTTGCTGCTCGAAACGCTTAGAGAACTAGATTGAACACCGAAAAAAATCCTGAATATTTAATAAATAAATAACAGGCTAGGTAGCGACGTCAACAATAACACCGTTTTAATAACAAACAGAATTACAGCAACTAATCCTCCATTCCGAGCATAAGCTGCGAAGATGAAAGGTGTCAGAAAATGTAGAGTCATCAAAGGTTAAAAGTGGTAGATTATTTAAAACATCGACTTGCGTCAATCTACTAAAAGAGAAATCTATTAGAACTGCTAGACGAAAAAATGTTCTATCACTTCAATACCTTTCTCAAATCTGAATTACTTTCACCGTATGACTTTTACCTCTGAACGCTAAACCTATCCACATATGATGTATACCTAATTTGAAATGAAGTTAAAAAACAAATAAACAAACGACGACACATAAATTAGTACACACATTTATTCTTTATTTTGATGAAAATCAATGCTGATTTTAAGAAACGTAGTGGAGCATTTCTTGTAATAAGAAACTTGTGGAGCACTCGACCAGTTTGGTAGTTTCAGTGTTAAGTGAGTAGTTCGAGTGGTAGTTTATGTTCTGTCAAATATTTTATTGATCGCCATTAGCAAGAAGAAGTTTGTAGAGAATAAAGGAAGAATGAAAGATAAGAAAGAGCACTAACCTTGAGGAGCCTCCGGAAATAAGGGCTGCACGCAGAGAGGACGACTTTGTGCGCTGTGAAGCTGCTGCTGTCGCATGCCAGGGTCACATCCACGAAATCCTCTTCATCCCTGAGATGACGAAATGAGCTGAGGATGCTCGAGTGGAAATCGTTCCACCTGAGTGAGTACTGTTGCTCGCCGCTCGACGAGGACGAAGAGGCCGCCATGGCGTCCGTCCCCTCGGGACCCACGGCCGAGGGTACCAGAGGTGCTATCGTGCTCACTCTGGCACCCCACGGGGACACCTTCACTTCACCCTCTCGTCGCGTTTCACCACGCACCCCTCTATTCTTATCAACCCTGTGCCGTTCTTCCGCACAGCCGAACAGCGTCCTCGTGCTATGCCTCCGATCTTCTTTCAAGGTCAAACGATGATCTTACGCTTCTTCTTCCTTCCCGAATCTCTCTCTCTTTTGATCGATTAACCTTCACCTCGACCTTGCGAATGTCCCCTCGAACGAAGTTCTTTGGTAGCTTTCACGAGTTATTTTGATTACTGTTACCGACGGGCTCCTGACGAACACGTGTTCGATTTTGAGAAAAGTGTCAGGTGTAGGGTGGTCTCGAGTCTATTGTCACGATGGATCTCATAATAACATCGTGAGTTACCCGCCGTTGCTGCAGGATGCTGAGACAATGAGTCCGCAATCGCTTCTGAAAACAATGCGGCGTTTATTGTCAGGGTAAACCGACACGTCATGCGACCTATGGGATATTTTTGTACACCGATCGATAAATGCCGGAAGATCTATTCGCATTAAACGCTCGACAAAAGATAATTCGATATTTCTGTCAAACTTGCTTTTGCGTTCTATTCTACCGCTTAATCCTTTTGTCCCTTAAACTAAATAGGCTGCTTCAAATTTCAATACTGTTTCTAATTATAAATGGAATATTACTAGTTACAGCTACAATTTAGATATGAAAGTCTTTATTTGAAACAACACAAAATACACATCTAAACCTTCTATTAGAAACTTTGAATGTCATATCTCTAATTGGACATCAAACTAATAAACCAAGTCATCAAACTAATGTATAAAATTTTTTTAATAAATCAAGATATATTGTAGTTAGAATCAGAACAAATTGATAATTTACCTTAGTTAAAAAAAATGCGAAGACTCCGGCTTCTTGCTTCTCCAAACTTTCCTCCGCCTTTTCCGGCACAACCACGATTTGTATCACTTTTTCGCGTTTAACGAAGTCCTTGCACCCTCTGCCCTGCCACAGCTTGATCGACGCGTCATTCCGACATCCGTTGTCGAGAAACGCGACGATTAATCTGTCGATATTTTATCGCCCTTCGAAGAACACTCAACGATTCACCGTCTGCCAGGTCACTCGATGTTCGTGTAACACCTGTGTCCTTGATTATCATTCCCCTTTCGACCTCTGCTCTTCTTGATCTCTTGCTCGTTCCTCTCCTCCTATATAGCCGCCTTCTTGTCTCCTCTTCTGCAAAGAAGAAGGGACTCGGTTAATACGCTGTAGATATTAACTGTTTATTTATGTTCTAGTGTTTGAGGAACGCAGTGGATCAAGATTCAGTCAGTCCTCATTCTGTCTGGATATCAGAATGAATATTCAATCAGTTTTGAATATGAAGCTGGTAATTTTTAAAAGAAGTCTTCTTTGACTCGGTCTTATGTCTAATCATTCAGAATAGGTGACAGGATGTGAGAATTTCCTACATTCGGCTACGCTTATCACTTTTGTATATTTTAATTTAAAATTTCACAGTGTATTTTATTAAAATTTAATCTTGAGCGATTTCGAAAGAATACATGGTATCACTTAAGTAAGATAACGTACATAGTATTCGAGCAATTAATTCATGATTAATTAACACTGCGCTCCAGCGTACTATCAGAAACGCTATAAAACCACGTAAGAAAACCGGCGAGCAAAGTTAACCGACCTACGAAGACATTATCAGAAAATTAACGAGTAATGAAGATCAATTGCATCGGTCTTCATCCATCTCCTTCGAAGAACATAATCGATCAACGATAAGAAACAAGTAATTGCACGACAGCAGGAAAAGAAGCATACGACTCACGCACCGTACTTTTCCGATTAACTGATCGACTTTCGAGAAATCGTTACTCGTTTACTTCCTAGTAACGATGCTCGATATCAATGGCAAAACCTTGAATGAAACATAGAAGCAAACTCGTATATCTTGCTACACATGCTTGTTCGATCGATCAATCAGATTGGAATTTGAATTTAAATGTTTATAATTCCGGTTGGGAGAAAAGCATGTAAGATGTCTCTTTTCTTTGCTTCGATCGACAGCGATTTCCGAGCATGAAGAACGCAATTTGATGCGTTCTATATGTGTCTTGGGTATAGGGATCTAGCAATTGAACATAGCAAGTATAGATAGCACGAAGAATGTCAGTTTTTCCTCGCGTTGCATCATGAACATCCAGTGCGATAACAATCGCCATTTTCCGACACGAATAATTTATCCCAGTAAAAGCGCCAATGCGACAGCTGAGACAGATCTCACCGATCTTAGCTGTCCGGAGGAAAGAAATTAAGATCTTTATCGGACACGAATTCGTGTAATAACCAGCGGAAAGAAACAAAAGGAAAACCAGCTATAATGGTGGGAGAAAATCATGAACGCGGGAGTAACTACGTGTACAATTGATAACGTGGATATCGCGGTTGTTTACAATTCTGTGAATTTACTTTGTATCCAGCTTCAATGCTAGAAACTATTAATTACTCACTTTGGTGTAATAACAGAACCCCAAAAACTTGAATCCACATATTTTATATCTTGAAATTTAACTTAAACCTACCGACATATAATGTGTACTTAACTTGAAATTAAAAATGAAGTTGAAAAATAAATAAACAAATGACAAAACATTTAGCGCACACATTTATTCTTTGTCTTGATGAAAATCAATGCTAATTTGAAGGAATGTACTCTAACAAAATGTGTACCTTAACTTGAAATTAAAAATGAAGTTGAAAAATAAATAAGCGAGTGACAAAACATTTAGCGCACACATTTATTCTTTATTTTGATGAAAACCAATGCTGATTTGAAGGAATGTACTTTAACAAAATGTGTACCTTAACTGGAAATTAAAAATGAAGTTAAAAAATAAATAAGCAAATGACAAAACATTTAGCGCACACATTTATTCTTTATTTTGATGAAAATCAATGCTGATTTGAAGGAATGTACTTTAACAAAATGTGTACCTTAACTGGAAATTAAAAATGAAGTTGAAAATAAATAAGCAAATGACAAAACATTTAGCGCATACATTTATTCTTTATTTTGATGAAAATCAATGCTGATTTGAAGGAATGTACTTTAACAAAATGTGTACCTTATAAGAAACTTGTGGAGCGGTCATTTGACCGGTTTGGTAGTCTTAGTGTTAAGTATGTACATGTGAATGTTGCCTTAGAGCTTAGCCTAAGAATAAATATTATAATTTAAGGTTAAATTTAAATGGTTAATAACATAATGTTAACAGTAAAAAAGTGTACGAATGCAGTTGACATGAGGCAGACGTCAAAAAGCACATACGCCTCCGAGCAATTGCATATTATGAAACTGACATAATGACCAGCGGGTGATTTCGCAAGCGCATACCTAGAAAGCGTTACGAGGTGTGGAGAACGCGAACGTTCTTAGTTATCTCAATTTCGATACTGAAATTAAATACGCATTTTCCCTGGTGAACCGGGATCCCCGGAGGCGAGATTGAAAATTATTTACACTAAAGCGGTCGGACAATGTGCATACATCGAAATCGTGGACAAACGGGAACTAATTCAGCGATAGTCCATGTGAAAATACCGCGATATTTCGCCACGATCCCATTGTATGAATATCTTTACATCGATTTACATTGTGAAAATAAAAATATTGGATAATAAAGGTTTAATGGTCGGTCGATTGTCTGCGTGCGAATTAAAGTGGTTAATTCATACACGTATCCTGTAATCGTCTAATTATTCCGTAACCATTAACGCGTTGAAATTTTCACCTATAATCCCAGCAACGGCTCATTCTCTGGATCAGGTGTTTCGATTGCAGAACACTGTTTGCGTAAAATCGCGATGAAAATGAGCTGCGTTCCACGTGTGCGTGACCGACATATTCCATTATATCGTATGAATGAATCGCGTGTCCCTGAATATATTTTGAACGGATCGATCGACTCGTTTGTTCGCGATTAAACCACGCGTTCACTGTAAACAGTGTAATGCCAACAGTGAAAATTCCGGAAAATTGTTTTGCGTCGTCCGGGCATCAAATATCGGACGAGATAATTAGGAAGCCAAAGATGTTCTTTATCTAACTGCCATTAATTACTCGCGTCCGAAGTAACAACCGTATATATTTCGAAATGCACAAAGGGGAATTCGACGTAAAAAGACGCTGATCTGCATACGTCTGCTACGGAAGTGATTTATGAAGCTATCGAGAGAGGATCGACGACTCGACATCATTAGCGATCGTTGCTTTTGTAGCTTCGTTTGCTTCGATCTTTTTACAAACTTTCTCGTTTTAAGTGGAGAAAAAGTAAATTGTACGTGGGGGATCGTGTGATTCAAGTCTTGTAAGACTCGTTTGATATACGAGAGCAGCAAAAACTGAATAGGTGGTTTTGTTGCAGATGAGCACGAATTAAATGGCCACCCGTTGCAAAGCTAAGATTACAACCACGTTTACCACTGCTAGATTTTCTACCCATTAAATCATAACCACATTTTGCATTATCACATCTGTTAGGATCAAAACCTAGTTCGTTTCACATGTTAGATTTTCTTCTTTACCACAAGAATTAAATCGCCACCCGTTAGATTACAATCACATCTGTTAGAATCAAAACCCAATTCGTTTCACATGTTAGTTTTCTCTGGTTCTCTGCCACAAGAATTAAATCGCCACCCGTTAGATTACAATCACGATCAGATTTCCACACTGTCAGATTTATCACATATCACATTCTCCTCCACTATTACTAGGGTTAAAAGTCTAACCCACCCTTAAAGGAAGAGAAAAGTTTCCTGTCTGTAATAGTTGTGTGTTGGAGACATTTAAAATCCATCCATCAGTCGGTATGCAACCGTTTCTTTTTATCAGAGGTGTTTGTCGACGGTGCGACGATACGGTAACGCGATAAATCAAAAGATACAACGTTTAAATATTTCATTGGCGAAGAAAAATTTCGTCGAAGCGAATCAAGGACGTCGCGTCGACGTGCATTGAGCTTCCTCGAATCCGCGGATCGTTTTATTATTCCACGGTGCGATTCGCGAGCCTCATTGCAGTGCGTCGCAACGCGTTTGTTAATCGCGAGTCAACAACGCCCTATTGCGTTATTCCACGCCACGGATCACGGTACTTTTTCAATACACACGTATTTTATTGCGTTTCACCCGTCGCTTACCACGCGTTTTCTATGAATCTTTCATTCACCGGCGGACACACGCGTTGTATCCGCTATCAGTTATGTAGTAAATGCGTGACTTTTGCTTGTCGATACTGTGTTGATATTCGATGGTCTTGGAAGGTGGGGATTTGGACAAATTTGGGATTTGGAGAGTTGGGGATTTAGGTTTAGGGACTTGGAGGTTTAGGGACTTAGGAGGTTTAGGGATTTAGGAAGTTTAGGGACTTAGGGGGTTTAGGGATTTACGAAGTTTAGGGACTTAGGAGGTTTAGGGAGTTGAAGATTTTGGGATTTGGAAGTTTAGAGATTTGGATATTTTGGGATTTGGAGATTTTGGGATTTGGAAATTTTGGGATTTGGAGATTTTGGCATTTGGAAATTTTGTGATTTAGAAATTTTGGGAATTGGATATTTCAGGATTTAGGGATTTAGGGATATGGAGGTTTAAAGATTTGGAAATTTAGGGATTCAGTGATTTTGGGATTTGGAGATTTTGGGATTTGGGAATTTTGGGATTTGAAGATTTTGGAATTTGGAGATTTAGGGATTTCGAGAGTTAAATATTTCGAAATTTAGGGATTTTGAAATTTAGAGATTTAGGGATTTGGGGATTCTGGAATTTGGAGATGTAGGGATTTGAAGATTCAGAGATTTCGAAATTGAGGGATTTGGAGGATTGGAGATTTAAAGATTTAGGTGTCTCTAGACTTAGGGATTTGGAAATTTAAGAATTTCGTGATTTAAGGATTTGAAGATTTAGAGATTTTGAGGTTTAGAAATTCAAAGATTTAGAAATGTCACAAATTTACTAATTTGGAAATTTGATAATTTGAGACTGTAGGCATTTAATGGTTCCATATTGTTTATGTAACCCGTTAATGATTATAGTTATTCCTTAAAAATTATTATAGTTATTCCTGAACGGAGTGAATGGTGGTTGCAAGTGGTGTGTTCGTTGAAAAACGCATCACTGCTGTGAACGTTCGTTTAATTTTCAGTCAGTCCTATATTATCCTTGAA